TCAAAGTGGCATTGTGTGTCTGTTTTTTTCTCGAAACCCTCTAGTGTCAGTGATTTGGACCCAGACTAGCCTGGGTAACTAATACACCTACTTGTTCATCAGCTTTCACCGAAATTCAGTGCTCAATTCATTCTGCCTTCAGCGACTCCTAATGAAAGGGGAATGTGTGGCTCAAAGACAGTTCCTGCTCTCAAGTGGCTCGCGATGCCTCCGTGCATTTGGCATCGTTGTTCGCACTCGCAGAAAATGTACCATTTTCGTCACTCGAAACGGGGAGACTTGGGCTTGTCACGTCCGACAAAACTCGTCCAAGCCGCCGCCTCCTTTGCTAAGGGATCCCTTTTCAGAGTGCTCAAGGTTTCTTCGCTTCTTTCTCGACTGGGGAGTTATTTATGGGCTAGTGGTTCATAATTGATCACCTTCTGCCCGTAACACTTGACCGCGGGAACTGTCTTTAACCCAGAAGAATATGAATGGAGGGTGCTTCATCCTTTTTTCTTCAAGCGGCACTCATTCTACTTCCATGGAGAATCGTAGTATTATATGAATTCTGTGTGGCCTATACAATATGATAAATGATCAGTAGTCGAACACCGGGGTTGTAGCAGTATTAGTGCCTTCTCAGGCATGTATCAAGAAAAGACAGAAGCCTCAGTATGGGGAGAAACCCGTTCTACGACTTCTAGCCTGCGAGAGGAACCCACTTCTATTCGCTTCTAGGAACCCATTATATAAAAGCGTTTTCCTGCGACAAAAAGTGGGGTAACGCCAAGTACAAAACCCTCACAACTCCGTTTGGAGAACTACTCTGCCGGTTTTAGAAGGAGGTTCGAAACCGGCGGCCGAAAATGCGTGCGTTTGTTGGGATCTCATCAAAAGTCGCCATTTCCACCTCAAACCCTTTCCCAGTAAGGACAGCCAACATTTGCCCATTGATTGCCCAGTTCTTTGGTTGGATAATGACACCTGCAGTGGTAATTGTTTACTTCTTTAAGTTGGTGACGTCGTTTCACATTATTATCACACCTTGTTTTTTCATCGGAATGAACTTGACATGTAGCTTATCCTTCCGAACTCATAGCACGCTCCCTGTGACTGTCGTGATATTCGTTATGTACCTGCTTTTTATCTGGATGACCGTGGCAGGCACGCGTATGCGTAGGCTGGGTACGTTAATTTGAATGGAGATGAGCGGTTGTATGCGAATGAGCTGTTCGTGAACAATTGTATTTCAATTCCATTTACAGCGACAAGAACAATGCATTTCTATTCAATTGAATGACATAACGCATTCTACGTACGTTAAACATGGATGTTCCAACTCCATTTCGACGGATATGGACTGTGCTACACGCAGTGATGAAATCCTTGTCATTATTTTCAGAGGTTTTGATGTTTGGTTATTAGAAGAAACAAGGTGCCATTGAGTTCTCAAAATGGGTATATGGTGGATGTCAGTCCGCCAGCAGGACCAAGCAGCTTTCACAAAAAAGCAAGCGATCGATTAGGGAGATGATGGCAGGGTCATATTGCCAGAATGGGTCGGTCAATTTCTCTTCTGGTGTGCAGTGATTTGGAGTTATTTTCATGGTTTATATATTTTGGTTGATCTTTTTTACTAGTGCTAAGTATAGACGCAACACCAGAGTAACCGTTCAGCGCTTCAAGAATAGATCAGTTCTGAGCGCATTTCTTGCATTTCAAGAACACGAATATATAGGATAGTTTGTTTCCAGGTGAATTGTCAAAAAATTCCTGTGGTAGGCGTTTGTCATGAGGCACTTAAATACTCGCATATCTGATATCGAGGTTAGGCAGGTGGGCTGCGAGGCCAAGGCTAGTGATTACTTGATTTTGAAGTGGCGGTGGCGCCAGGATTTTCGTGAGATATTGTCATTTTGGAGCAGTCATAATCATGCTACATCTAATACAGAACAACGGAGCAGCTGAGAACAAGATAGCAGTTGTTTCAAATTGAAGTATCCCACGAGAAACCCGTCCTATGCCATGCTCATAAGCCACGCCTACTCCGTCGCAGGGATAAGGAGTGTATGTGGGAGGCTTCACCGAAATGATGACCCTTCGGCGCACGTTATTCCAAAAATCAGAAGAATTTAGGGGACTCAGTCACGTTCATACGATACTACGGTTTGCATTAAATGTCGAGTGCAGGACACAATCCAGAACAGTCACTTGACGTCGATCTTTCTTTGTCGTCTGCAGAGGCTACTAATCAACCGAAGTACCTTAAAGAGCTTTTATTAGAGTACCTCGCTAGATAACTCCTAAACAAGACTAGAGGGAGGAGAACAGTACGCGACGGCATGTTGAGGATCTCCAGCGAGGGGGGGGGTCCTATGCGGTCGCTGGAGGGAGGGAGTCGGATCTGCCACTGACAAAAATATATCCGGTTTTGATATTTTTCGGTTCTTAATGTCTCAAGTGGGGCATATGTACAAACAAAAAAACGAGGCTCACCTTGCTGCAGCTTGCTCGCGTAAATCTCGCCATAACCCCCCCCCCCCCTCCCTCTGTGATCGGCGGTAGTTTCTGAGGTAAAACTGTCGAGAAAATTTGGTCGATCTGGGAGGATTGTAAGTAGGATGGGGGAAGGGAGTGGCTGTATCACAGAAAAACTCTTGTAGGAGGGTCGAACTGCCGCAGTTCTTGGGCTTCTGTTGTTTATATGTCAACTGATGATCGACTGACCGCTCCTATTCATGTAATCAGTTTGATTTTAGGTGCTGGGGAATGCGGAAAGAGCACCGTTCTGAAGCAGATGAGGTAAGGGTTCGCTAGACGTTCTCGTGCCATTCAAGCATTATAAATGTCAAACATTGCATCAATAGGTCTCATTAGTTGAATGTGTTTAGGATTCTTCACGACCACGGATTTTCTCAGGAGGAAGCCGATCAGCAAAAAGGCGTTGTCTACAACAACACCGTGCAGGCGATGGCAATGATTCTGAGGGCAATGAATAATCTAAAAATCACTTTCGACGATCCAGCCAGAGAGGTCAGAGGGTCGCGGACTTCGCACTGCTCAACTATTACTTTGACACAAATTTTCATAATCAGGGAAACGCGGATAATTGGAGGTGGTCTGAACCGCTTGAAAGAGAAGCCAAACACAGTTCTCTCATGTTAATTACATGGCCAAATACATCAACTGAGCAAGATAATGAAATCTCAACTACATTAGGTAGTCAAAAAACTCCAATACTTCGATGCCCAGGCTAGGTGCAATGAAGGGAGTAGAAGAGCTACAAAAAGATTCGTGGCGCTCAAAACCAAGAATAAGGAAATGCCTGAAAATTCCTGGGAATCAGATTCTTAAACGAGTTGAAGAGGGAAAGCGAAAGAGAAAGCAGAGGATGCAAAAATTAAAATTTTCTTAAACTTTGCATAAAAATTTTGAAGACTTATTCAGTGATCAGATTCATTTGAACAACGGCCGCCTGCCTGCTCTCTGAGAGAGGATAAGAAAGAGAATACGGGAATCCAGGGGGCGACGCTGCGGAAATTTATGGTGTGGAAGAAGGTGGTGAGAGGGTCTGCGGGACGGTATGTGACAATAGATCGTATTATACCGCCACCCCGGTGTTGTGGGTGATTCGCGCTGCGAGCGTCGCGCCGCAAATTGAATGATGATTCGGGTTGTAGATGGTGGAACAGGCATTTTGTATATCAAAAATAGTATAGTAATGTCTACGATTACGCGGCGGTCTACATGAAGTCCCCGGTGATCCAATAGACGAGGAAACCGAGTAAGAAACGCCGCTTTGGCCGTGGGAAGGGCAAATTACGATTCTTTTGCCGTCTTGAGAAAGCACGTTTCTTGGCTTCCATACTTTTGCACTTTCTCGATGCTTTGACATTCCACTGTCTTCTATCTGTCTGCGTTTCTTGGTTTCGCAACAGAACCATAAACAGAAGTCCAAGATGTCACGTAATCGGATAGAGAGGAGAACTGCAAACTATAAGTATACTTTATAGGCGTGCTTTTTGTTTACCCCGTTAGCGTTTGTGACATTCTTCGTTGGTGCTTACACGTTATGAATGCACATACACAATTTACAGTCTCCTGTATCCCGAGAGCGGGTCGAGGCCGGTCCTGGAATAAGGGGATTGGTACGACCCTCTCCCTCCTCATCCCAGGACAGGGAAGTGCTACCCGCCTTACCTGCCCTTAGAGGGTAGAGTGTGTGGAGGCTTGTCTAAGTTACATCGGGAGATTACCATCACTAGTTCATAAACAAATCTGTCCCCATGCTGCCCTGAGCGGTCGACCAGTGCCTGTTTAAATGGCGAGCAGACAGAATGCCTATGTGCGAAAGAAATGTCGAATGGATGTCACATCTTTTCAGGGGAGTCTTTGATTACGAATTAGCCTTTTTTTTGGTGCCTATATAGCCAAATTAGAGAGTTATCGACGCCATAGACATGTTTACATCTTCTTGATCAGTGTCCGGTAAATGAATGTGTCAGTCTAGTTGTCTTTTATTTATTTTGGAAGTAATATGTAACAGGGATAACGTTACTAAGCTGATCGAGTAATGCAGCTCTCTTTCTTTTCTGTCTACTTCCTACGCATACTCCTACTTCCTCCCACCCATAGATGATTAAATTTTCTTGATAGCATGTTCTCTGGAAAAAGGCCTATTACTCGTCTGTTCTTGACGATTTTTTATAGCAACGATAGCGGAATACTTTCTCCTAAGCAAAGAAGTTTAGAATGATTCTCGAGTGGTCCTGGACACGATCAAATCTGCCCAAGAATCAGAACCATTCACACCGGAACTGACCCAAGCGTTGAAAAACCTATGGGCAGATCCAGGAGTTGTAGCCGCAGTCAATCGAGGCAATGAGTTCCAACTCACTGAAAGCGCTCCACAGTCAGTTGTTTCTCACCATATTACGGTATCTCCCAAGAACGTCTCACACAAGTTATTTGTTCCAGCTTTCTCGGCTCTATTGATCGTATCGCAGCCAAGGACTATAAACCCACCGAGCAGGATATTCTGCTTTCACGGATAAAAACTACTGGTATTGTAGAAGTGAAATTTCAAATGAAGAATGTGGATTTCCGGTAAGTTACCTTCGCCGTCGTTGCTTTATTATGATTGAATATCATGCAGACCTTGACGTAATTTATTGTTGACAAGCAATTAGAAATTTGCAGGAGGAAATTAGCTCATAAGCGTTTGTTTCAGCGGGGTAAAACAAGTGGATATTATGGAATTGCGAGGGATATGAAAAAAAGTATATTTTCAATGACCAAACGCTTGAAAAACCAGCTGACTTGATTTCTGGTCGTGTCCTACCAGGAAAAACCCTATTGCCTTTTCCGAATGGCTCAGCTTTGGTGTGCGCCATGTACTTGCCTTCTTAGCCATCGGAGATTTGGATCTGCACTTAGTGGTCTTACACAACAGCCTGCGAAACCAGTCACTGCTTGTTTCCATGTCTGAAAAGTGCAGTGAGATTCCTACCATTCAGAAAGATGTGAGGGTTAGGTAGTGTAGTGGGAGCCTCGCTTGCCAAGCGTTCAGCCCG